GCATACATGTATATAGACACATACATGTATATGTTATATATACATTATATATATGCATTAGTCTTATACATATATGTGTGTATATACATATATATGCATCATATACATATATATATGCATTATTCTTAAAGAAGTCACATCTGGAAACTGCCTTGTGAACTAGAAGCCAAAAAAAAACCTGTATTATCTTCCCAGTGCTGTCAGTGACAGTATTCATGCTCAAGAGATTCCACTTTGCTAAGCATGTTGCCATAGTAAGGTTTTCTTTTATACAATCATAATCATACTCAACGTGTGTCATTAGAGTATGTACCCAAGGAATTTATTTTTTTAAGGTGGCCATTTATTGAATACTCAATTATAAAGGACATTATTTCTATTCATCAAACTAAAGAAACTAAAATTTAGAAAAGTTTGATTTTTTTAAATTAAAAACTAAATACTTAAATGTGACACTCAATAGCAAATTTATTTTTGAGCAGAATAGGTCTCTATACATCCTGTATGTATAGTTTTACAATTTGGATACAAAATATAAGATTCTCATATGAAAGAACTCTGCACATATGTAAAATAGTACTTGTTTAGTGGAATTTCAGACTTCTGGTAACCTCAGCTATCTAAAATATAGCCATGAATCTAAAAGTGAAAAAGAGTTTTGAGATGTAGCTGCCTCAAAGCCCATACATTCCTTCTTTTCCTTGGAAATGACAAAGAACAAAAATACCCAACAGGGAGCTGAGACTCAAGATGAGATGGCACAATGGACAGGGAGGTAGACCTGGGATCAGGAAAACCCAAGTTTAAATCCAGTTACTAGCCCTGTGACTCTCCTACTGCCCAAGGTTATTATGACAATAAAATGAGATAATATTTGTAAAGCATTTTGCAAACAGTGCTACATATGTGCTAGTAGTGGAAATTCAGGAATCTTTTTTGTATATTCTGCCTCACATATGGAAATGCCATTTTTGTGAATCAACAGGACAGGGAGCAAAGATACATTTGTCCTACACAGATACTGCTTTCAGTGAGCTTATAATCTAATGGGGGTAAGAATTGTGATACAAAGGAGAGCAAAATCAGTGAGGAGATAGAACTTTCACCAAGGATGGAGGAAGTAGGGCAGGAAAGATCAGGTAAAGCTTCATGAAAGATATAGCAATCTAATTTAACCCATCAAGGGTGGAGGAACTTCAACCAACTGGAGTTTGAGGAAAGGAGACATAACCTACATATATTTAAGACAAAGAAGTGAGAGGGGGCAGAACAAGAATGGGGGACAGAACATAACCCAGTTAGTCTAGAACGTAGACAATGTGAAGGTGAGCACAGTATTGGTTGGATTATAAAGGGAGGGGCATGAGTGTCAGAGGCAGATTAGACTTCATTCAGTTGACAGTGGCAGCCCCTGAAGATTTTTTTAATTGAAGAGTGGCATGACCATAGAAGTGCATTAATACAGTCAAATAGGTAGTGGATTAAAGAGGGCATAGAATGCTCATAGGAAGACCAGAGAAAGGGCTCTTAAAATAGTCTAGGAGAAAAAGGGGCATGGCTTGAGCTAACTTGGTTGGTAATGGTCATCCAACCTCCTTTCCAGTGACAAGGACCTCATTAGTTATTGCAGCAATCCATGTCACTATGAGATAGCTTTAAATGTTAGAAAAGTCCAAATTTGTTTTCTGTCATACTCCAGAGCAATGCAGAATAACTCACATTTATTCTTCAAATATTCAATGATACCTATCCCATCACTCTTTAAGCCTTCTCTTCACAAAATTAAACATCACCAGTTCCTTCAATCATACCTTTAATATTGTTGCTTCAAAATCCTTCACTATTCTAGTCGTCTCCTATGTATTATCCAGTGGTTTTTCAAGGTCCTTCTTAAAAATGTGGGTCTCAAGTGGCTTGGGAGCTCAGCTGGCTGTGGGTGTGGGTGGGTCCAGGAGAGGTGCCCCAGGCCGGGCACGCATTGTGCCACCGCCACCTGGACTCTGCGTAGCTAGGGCAACGAGGCATGCGGGCCCGGGAAGTTGAAGAAGCCCTAACTCGGAGAGAGACGGAGGACGGATGCTGCAGCCGCCAAGAAGCTGGACTTTGTAGGGCATGTGGTATGTGGGAACTGAATTGAAAGTTTCTTCACCTGAATTGAGAGGCTTTATAACATTCAGCAACCAGCCTGCCTCACATTATCTGCTGTGAGTGAAACCTGGCCCAAGAAGCAGAATTCCTTTATTGGCTTGCAAATGTATAAGGATGCATTAAGAAAAGAATCATGAATAAATACTGTAAACTCCAAAAGACTGGGGAAGGATCCTTTGGAAAAGCTATTCTTGTTAAATCTAGGGAAGATTATAAACAATATGTTATTAAGGAAATTAACATCTCAAAGATGTCTAGTAAAGAAAGAGAAGAATAAAGGAGAGAAGTTGAAGTGTTGGCAAACATGAGGCATCCAAATATTGTCCTATATAGGGAATCATTTGAAGGTCAAATAAAATTTGCAAAAGAGTACACAAGAACTCATCAACTAAATGATGGTCTCTGTGTAATTTAGTTATGACTATACCTTCATTACTGTGGGGGAATAATGCATATCATTGCAATGCCAGTATTATATGGAGCCTGATGGCTGGGTTGACTCTTTGATACCATCCATATCCCCACTTAGGTCCATACTGCCTGAGGACTGTGTTGGTAATCTGTGGAAGGAATAGCATGCTGATGAAAATAAACTATTCATTCAAATTGTTCTTAACCCTTTAAGTTCTGTTAAGCGTCACCTCTGAGAGAAAACTCTGAGCCTCTGGAAAAAAGTTGAGAGATCTATCCACTCATTGGTATCCTTACATCTGAAATTATAAGATTTAACTACATTGAGTATCTTCTTGATGGAGTTTAAAATGCTGTAGAGATAGTATTAGAAAAATTTAGGCCAGAGATTGTGCAATCTCTTCTCTGTATATCTTAATAAGAGGCTAGATAACCTTGTATTAATAATAAATTAAAAAAAAACTTGAAGACAGACAACACCATACAGGATAAAAAACAAATAAGCAGACAAAGCAATTGATGTCAAAAGCATATTAAAGAACCAGGAATGCCCAACAAACAAACCTAGAAGAAGAGAATGATTCCACATTGTGCATAATCAAGGAAAATCACCATTTTATTTTATTCTGAGCCTAACCCTTACCCCCTGCCCCACATACACAGAGCTTTAGTATGTACACAGCAGAACACAAGAGGATTGCATCTGAAAGCACTGATATCCATTCCATACTTCTTGCTTTTTTAAAAACAGAATAAATTGAATGTTATTTTCAAAACTTTAAAAAAAAATGTGGGCCTCAGTAAATCTAAGTTTAGTTGTATAAAGGAGAAGGAAATAGTAAAAAATAAACTCTTTGGAAATGTTGGTTCCTATGACTTAAAAATAACAATAGTATTTGTGTAACTCCTTAAGGTTTGCAAAGCACTTTACATATGTTTGTCTCATTTGATCCTAATAACATCCCTGAGATGTAGCTGTTCTTATTAGCCCATTTTACGGAAGAGGAAACCAAGAAGTTACTTAACCAGGGTCATATAGCCTTACTTACAATTAGTTAATTATCTGAGGCAAAATTGAGCTTAGATTTTCTTGCTTTGATGATGGATATGACTCTAGTATTCACTGTAAAAGAATGGCTCCTTGGGTTTACATGCCTCTCCCAGGGCATAAGGGAAGGTCTGTGGTTTCTCAGTGCGAGAGAAAGGAAGATCATGTTACAGAAATTATGCAAGAGTTCTTCATTGGACAAAATGTTCAAGATACTTTCTCACCTCTGCCAGTCCTGATTTTGTGTAGGTTTTAAAATTTTCATGGAAGAGTCTTCTTATATTCCTGTTAAAATGTTTCATTTTTATCAATTAATATTTCCAGTAACACAGGTGGTATCCTTTGCACTGCTAAAGTTGTGATGTTCTTATTTTGGTACATTTTATATATTCTGTATTCTTGTATCTTAAGTATAATTACATTTTTAACACCATATTTTATCTATATACTGCTTTAGATTCACCTCATGTGTTGTTTTATGCAAAACGTATAGGTGACCTTGAATTCTTATAATTATATAGCTTTCCCCAGAGTCAAATTAAAAAGTCTTTGTTGATGGCTCTCCCAGAGGGTGAAGAAAGAGGGGCATAGGAGGAATCTAGGTGATGTAAAACCAAAAATTATCAATGAATAGAAATGAAAGAGAATAATCGTCATTAAATTTTTTCTCTAAAAATTATGAAGGTCTTTCCAGTTTTATGAATAAAAGCATATTCTCCATGCAAACTATTTGATTTGTTGAGGATTACAATGTTCTTGTAAAGTAAAAATGGTGCTAGAAGGAACTTTTAGGCCTTATTAATAATAGCAAAGGAAAAGAACATATTAGAATAGAACACACTTATCACATGTGCCATATGCAGAGTTGAGGAACTTGACTGTAACCAAATGAACGTATACTAAACCAGATTGTTGTGAGGCTCAAGTTTTTATAGAAAACACTACTATAGATCCTCCTAGAAAAAGTTCTGTTAAAATTTTACATGTTAACTCTTAAGTTTTTGTGGATATGTGCATATGATTTCATGATAAGTCATGATATCCTACATATCTATCTGAATAATATCTTTGTATGCTATTTAAAGTAAATCTCTATGTGTTAGCCCTCACCTTCTGTACATAAGGTAGAAATGAAGAAAAAGACCAGTGAAGTTTTAACTATACTATACCTCTAGGTTCTGTGACTTGCTACCTTAAACCATAGTTTATGCTAACATATATGCTAACGTATTTTGGCTCTTTAGTCAGAATTGCTGAGAAATTATACTTAGAGGTAATCAGGAAATAAGCATTTCTTCCTGTTGTGTTAGGGAAAGGGATTCTAGTCTTCCTGAGCCTGCACGAATCCTACTCTAAGTAGATTTGCCTCACTATCTCATTTCTTTTTTTCCAGGTAATTGAAGGAAAGCTGGCCCCTTTCTTGGGAAAGGTCATTAAATTTGCCACCTCACATGTGTACAGCTGCAGCCTGTGTAGCCAAAAGGGCTTCATCTGCGAAATCTGTAACAATGGAGAGATCCTTTACCCTTTTGAAGATATTTCAACAAGCAGGTACAAAACATCTTGTCTTACAAAATGATGGTCAAATGTCATGTAAAAGTTTCAGGTCATCCACATTTCGATTTCTTCTGGCTGCAGTGAGACAAGGTTTGCTGAAATACTTTATCTTCATCTTTAGCCTACATGTGTTCTATTGGATATTGGGTATTGTTTCATCCTCTGATTTCTTGCCGTGATTTCTAGCCCTGATATCAAAATGAGATAACCACATTAAATGATATTTCCCATAAAATTATTTTTAAGATAATTGGATTCATTTTTAATAGTGAAGAACTTGGTGACACAATCTTACCACCTTTCTAGACCCAGGTGAAATACAGGAGCAAATCCACCATTGAAGAAATAGAATAGGGGCAGCTAGGTGGCGCAGTGGATAGAGCACTGGCTCTGAAGTCAGGAGGACCTGAGTTCAAATCCAGCCTCGGACCAAACACTTGACATTTAGTAGCTGTGTGACCCTGGTCAAGTCACTTAACCCCAGCTGCCTAAAACAAAAACAAAAACAAAAAAAAAAAGAAATAGAGTAAACCATCCATCCAGTCAAGGCTAGAAATGTATGAGCTTTGGAAAAAATAAAAGGAAAAAGATTTGAATGAACAGCTACACGATGTATTTTGTTCTTTACCATATTGTCCCATAGATGCAGCACAGTACAACAAGGAAAGTTTGAGGGGCACAATACAAGTTGCTGTGGATTTGTTTTTTTCTTACTAAAGTAACATATGTGGCAACATAATGATGCTAACTACTAGGTGAGAGCTTTTTCCCCCAATACATACTAGCAAGGCTATTATTACTCTTTTGTTGAATCACATAATAATCCTTATTATCTTTCCTTTCATCCTCCAAAGCATGAGATAAATACATTTTGCATGCACATGTGTATGTATATATTCCCAAATTTACTCTGGAGTTCAATAATGCAACACAGTGGTTCAAAACAGAAAGTGAGGTATATAATGAGAAGGAGCTAAAGCATATATAATGTAGCTAGAATGTAAAGGCTGACTGAAGGCTATCCTGACCACTTCCTAAACTGATGAATCTTCGTAAACAGCCTTTCATATAGGCTCAACCACTCCCATCTTACACCAGCACCCCACTTGCCACATCTCAGGTACAGGTGTCTTCAAATGAACAGTTGCCCCATGAGCACTATGTCTGGCCCCTTATCTTGTGACCTGTGGTAATGGCCAAACTGGCCATGGCCTGGCTTGACCCAACAATTCTGGTCAAAAACACTCTGTTTGCAGCATCATTAAAAGGAATGTCATCAGCACAAAACCTGTTGACTCAAAGAAAAGGAAGCTTAAAACAGCACGAAAGACTTTACAGGTATTGAATATCCTCTCATCCTCCCCCTTTTCAGATACTTCTCTCTAGATCCAATTTCTTTAAGCTTTAAGAATGTTTGAGTCTGAAGGAGTCTCGCCAACCCTTCCTGGAATTCTGAGTTAATAATACTTTCCAAGAACTATTGGAGCTCCCTTGTTGTGCAGCTTCCAATCAAATATTGGGAGTGGTTTAAAAAATGTAGTTTAAGAACATAAGGAAATAAAAGCACCACTTTAAAAAAGAAAAGAAAGAAAGAAAACTTTCCTCAAGAAGACAGAATTGAAATTTGTCTCTGTATACAAGAGCTAGTGGAATAATAAAAATTAATATAGTTTTCATTTTTATTATTCCACTAGCTCTTGTATTCTTGGAAGAATTGATAAAAACAGCACTATATAAATTCTTTGGAATGAGAAAATTAACTGAATCACAAATTTTTCACCATTTGTACTTGAGTTGTCTGAATTCAGCATTTCAGATCATTAGAAATGAACTTAAAATCTTTTCAGCAGCATAGCTGAAATATGATTGAAATTCATTAAACCATCTTTTACCAAGAAAGTGTTAAAATTTCCAAAAATATTTGATGAATAGCTTTTTTTTTTTTTTTGGCAAGGCAACCAGGGTTAAGTGACTTGCTCAGGGTCACACAGGCTTTTTAACAGACTCTGGAGCCCTTATTTGTGCTTCATGTCATTGGAGCATACTCATGGGTAGCCTATTATATTGGGTTAGAGTTCTACTAGGTATGTCATGTACCCTGTAATTCAGTTACTAAACACCTTCTTTTTCAGGAGAATTAGTAACTGTATTAGTTTCATTAATTTTTTATTTATAATTATTATAAATCTTCAAAATAGCTCCTCAACCATGCCCCTGATCACCATAGTTAAAAATCACATTTAGAAGGGACTACTAAAAACTCTACCTTTAAAATTGTCAATAATGTGGTTTTTTCCTCAAGAAGGTTAAATACAAGTACATTGCTAGTATGAAGAGGGAGCAATAATATATTTCAAGATTTGTAAGTAAAATTAAATATTTGAATCTTGAGATATGGGTCAGCTACTCAGCCCCAAGATTATCTTACCTTGACCTAACCTAAAGTAGAACCCTCTCTCTAGAGGCTAAAAACCACATTACAAATTTAGGAAGGAAATAAATAATCTGCTAAGAATTAATAATAAAATCTTAAATCCAAAAGGGATACAAACTGAATATTTTTGACTTGATTAAAGATACAGACACACTAAATTTAAGGCTTATTCATGAGAAAGGTAGTTATATCAGGTTGAATAGTTAAAAAAAAAGGAAGAACACATAGAAATCAAGATGACACAGAATTGAGGTCCTTAAAGTCATCTTGTTGCTAAGCCTGCATCCCAAAATTTCTACAGTTACTTTTCTCCTCCTAAAGACTTCTTTCTGTTTATACGAGGGCTATACTTTCCATCCCTATGATGCTGCCATTCCAGGAGCCCTGATGCCTAGCACTTCACCTAATACAACAGCAGTTCTCCTTCAGAAAAACTTGGAGAATATGCTCTGCAACTGATTCCATTCCATTCCATCCTATCTTGGTTGCCTGTATTTCCGTATTTTATATGACCCTTAAATCACATTTGCAAATATGGAAGACAATATAATTCACAACTGTCAAACACTTTGTAATGCCCTCAGTTGGATTTGAATACATGTATGCTTCTTAGCACAATGTATGATAAAATGGAAGGAGTATTAGATTTGTAGTCAGAGGACCTGGGTTCAAACCTCATCTCTACTACTTTTCTACCTGAGTGATCTTTTACTTGACCTCCTGAGACCTCATTTGCTTGTTTTTCTTTATCTTTATTTTTTTCCTCCAATGGTTGGAGGGACAGGGGACAGGAAGAAGAGAGAGGATAGTGATAGGTTTGCCAGAATAGGAAAAAGAAGAAAAAGGTCATTGAAGCATTTTTTGAATGTACAGAATAATAATCACTAGCACTTTACTATCTCATCTAATCCTTACAACAAAGCTATGAAGTAGGTACTATTATTATCCCTACTTCACAGATGAGGAAACTAATGCTGAAAAGCGTAACTTACTCAGGGTCGTACAGCTAGCAAGTGTCCACCGCAGGATTTGAACTCAGATCGTGCTCACTCCACTTCAGTACAAGTTATACTCAACAGACAGTCTTAGTTGTGTGCATAATTTTTTTTTTCTGATCTACATCATATATGGAAACAATGACTTTATTTGGTGTTAAGTTCAGAATTTTTTTTAAATGTGTTTAAAGACTGCTGGCCAGTGTTAGGGATTTGGCTAGTCACAATGGAGCAGAATTTTTCTCTGTACAAAACTAAATGGCCCTTTATATGCTTGTACCAAAAACCTCAGACTCATTAGCAACATACTCTTGCCTTAACTAATTGAAGCAACCCAAGATAACACCACACCCGGTATATACACATTTAAAGGATATTTCTACACATGTCAGTTGAATATAGACATTTTGATATGTGGGGAAAGTGGCCAAAACTAGTTATGGAAATGTGTGATTAGACTTGTCTTATAAAACGAGACTTACGTTCTCTCACACTCCCTCAGTTTCTACCATACTGCTCTTCCCTTTTTTTGTTGTTCCTATTTTTTTTACTGTGGTGCTAAGCTTACAAGCGGGAGAGCCTCCCAGATAATCGAGCATCAAACCACATTGTCCTCATCCATCCAAAATCCCTGAAATAGCAACTGAATCCAAAAATGTTGAAACTTCTCCTGGAACTTATCTGACCTTGAAATTGGGCTGCCCAGACATTCTGCACCATACTGTAATCTACCCTACCTGCCCTGCCCTGCCCATGAGTACCATGATAATGAGCCTGCTGGAGCATGGACTTTGTTCTTTGTCTTGGCACCGTCTGTCTTTATTTAAGCTCTCAGTACAGTATGAGAGCTAGCAAATGGCCAATTGTAGTAAAACCATGTAGAGATCAGGTTCAGAATAGAAACTGCCTTTCCTTCCATAGGTCTAAGAGGTATCATTCACTCTCCCTCTCCTACAGCTAAAACGATAAAGTAGCAGTAGAGAGATTTTCCTCTCTGGGAAGTTCTCTACACCGATAAAGTAAGTTATAGGCGCCCCTCTCTATCCCTGTTCCTGTAGACCTGGGCCCAGTCACCAGTGGCCCAGCACGTTACCCTCGGACTTTTCACCTTCATTATTGATTTTTCAACCAGTGGCCAGGAGATGGAGAAAGAGTAGAGGAAGGTACACAAATGGTTTGGCGTAAGAGTGTTGTTACTTGATGGGATATTTCTAGAACTATTAAACTCTAAACTTGCCACAAACTCTATGAAAAAGCCTTAATGTTTTGGGACAAGCTGCTTTGTGCAGTTGTGTTTTGAAGGATCAGCCCAGGTTCAGGCAAGTAATTTTTAGAAAGAAAAGGGGGTTGGAGGGAGGAAGCGTGAGAGACCCTGCTTAAAAGCTGGTCTTTTTCTTCTTTGGTCCCCTTGTTTGCACAGCCTTCATTTTTGTCAATCCTTGGGCAAACAGAGTGAATACCTGGATTATGCCCTCATCTGGGCTTGAATACACATACATTACATACCCTTCCCTCACTAATCAGCATGACACATTCCTTTGTTAGTAAATGGTTCCAAAACAAAT